TCTCCTGATGCAATTCATATATATATATATATTTAAAAAACCACCCAAACTTAAGCCCCCAACCTTTGGTAACTTTTAAACGTGCTTTAATAGATCAGCCCCCATTGCTCCCTTGCACACAACCCCTATAATCTGTAGTACCCCCCCTGCCCACCCCTGAAAATAGCTGTTAAAAAAAAAGAATTTGCTCATTGCAAAATTATTTTTGAGGCTCATTTTGTAGCTGGGAGGACCCCAAGGATTCCACCACTTCATGCACAGCACCAAATGAACCAGATAAATATTAAAGGACAGTAGCTTATATTCACAAAATTGTTTCTGTCTCACACATAGCATGGTTTCTGGAAACAACAGAAGGAATCGGAGCAAAGGTTGCTCAAATGGACTTTTGGACAAAACCCAGACATAGGCGGTTGTAGACTTTAAGGAAGAGGCATTCTGGATCTGAAGAGATGCCTGCGGGAAAAGGGTTCGGGTAAGCCTGGCCTGGAACGTGTGGAAAGAAAGTGGAACCCATTTCAGAAAACACTGAAGCCCTTTTTCTTTCTTTTTAGCCCTGAAGTGATAACTCTGCAGATGGACTGTACCACTTCAGGCTGCAACTGGGGGTCCACGCGATTGAACGCTCTTACATACAAAAACTTCCTGGCACATGGAAACCTATGTTGGGGGAAATCTAAGTTAGAACCCTTCACCCTCACACCTAGTACTCTATTTTGTCTGGAGGAGCGTTCAGAACAGAGTGGATTAAACACTTCCAGTGCTTTTCTTTCTTTCTTTCTTTCTTTCTTTCTTTCTTTCTTTCTTTCTTTCTCTCTCTCTCTCTCTCTCTCTCTCTCTCTCTCTCTCTCCCCCCCCCCGTTTTACTCTGCCATGTCACTCCTTGCAGGGTCTTCAGACCATGCAAGCATTGCAAGAGAAAACAGCTGGAGGGAAACCAGTTTGGGGACGAGAGGGTAGAAATCCGGTACTTGCCTGTTTCCTTCTCGCTTCAATCATTTCCCACTCCCATGTCTTTTATATGAATTGGTCTCAGCTTGCTTACAAGTCAAGGGTTGTGCCACCATTAAATAAAGAGTTCTTTCCTTGTATAGATACAATAAAAACTTCTCCTAAGCATTTCATGCTTTTTTTTTAGAAAACAGAAATAAGGTCTTGGGTAAGTGGATGTTCCAGAATAAGTATTCCTCTCTCCTGCAGATGAAATTAAAGGAAGACCCACAGCAAGGCTGCAGCAAGACCTCTGGTGCCGGAGCTGATTTGATGCATGGAAAGGTGACATTCAGGTGGGAAACGGCTACAGAATTTCACTCCTTTTGCAACCAAATCACCTACCTCCACCTGCCGCCTTACCACCTATTTGTTACATGACCACAAAACCCTAAAATGAGGGCACCAGCTCAGCCACGGCTTGGCTACCCGAGACTCAGACTTCAATCTTATCAAAGTAACCAGAGAAAGGATGGTAAACAGAGGCACTAGCCAATGTCCAACTTTCCCTTCCACAACACACTGGTTTATGGGCCACAATGGCTGGTTGTACAACACTTCTTGCTTTAGAGGCTGTCCAACAACGACGGAAAATTATTTTCACTCTAGGCCAGTCTAAGATAGGACTGCGTTGGGAAAAAACCAAATGACACCCTCCCACTAACGTATCTTATTTATTTCTTTTCTTACAGCTTCATGTGCTTTCAGACCAATGTTCAGACAAGTTCCATTGAAATGAAGAGGATCCATTATGCACTGACTCATTTTGATGGAACTTGTGTAGAAAAGCTTCCCAGAAAGCACCCTGATCAGCTGTTTGATAAGGGGGAAATAAACCAAGATGCCACCCTCTCCGTCCTGAATACCAGCGTTTCCCAAACTTGGGCCTCTAGCTGTTTTTGGACTACAATTCCCATTATCCCTGAACACTGGTCCTGCTGGCTGGGGCTTGTGGGAGTTGTAGTCCAACAACAGCTGGAGACCCAAGTTTGGGAAAAGCTGCTGAAGAGCATCATTAGCAACTGCTGGATGAACAGTGCCGGCAGTGGAAGTGGGATGGTTTCATTTCAGATCAGGCCAAACTTGAATATGTCCGTTGAAAAGAGGTGGAGTCATTTTAGCCCTCCCTCCCCTTTGGGCACTGTGTTTGAGACTAAATGGGGACGCGGGTGGCGCTGTGGGTTAAACCACAGAGCCTAGGACTTGCCGATCAGAAGGTTGGCGGTTCGAATTCCCACGACGGGGTGAGCTCCCGTTGCTCGGTCCCTGCTCCTGCCAACCTAGCAGTTTGAGAGCACGTCAAAGTGCAAGTAGATAAATAGGTACCACTCTGGCGAGAAGGTAAATGGCGTTTCCATGTGTTGCTCTGGTTAGTCATGCTGGCCACATGACCCGGAAGCTGTACGCCGGCTCCCTCGGCCCATAAAGCGAGATGAGCGCCGCAACCCCAGAGTCGGTCACGACTGGACCTAATGGTCAGGGGTCCCTTTACCTTACTTGAGACTAAATACATGCAGCCCTGTGAGCTGGATCAAGAGAGGAAACACAGAATCGCAGCACCTGCTTGTGCTCAGAGCCACTCAACCAGCTAACAAAGCCCTCTGTTGGGGCATTTATGCCACACACACAGAAAGCCTACATGGCTAAGGCAGGCTCCCTGTTGTTGAAGTCACCTCTCTAGCTTACTGAGGGGACGTGGAGCAACACAAACATGGCAGAAGGCAGCAGGGCCAACAAGGGCCCCTCTGCTCCCCCTATAATTTGACCCACGTGTGGGGTGAACACCTGAACAGGGTTATCAAAGCCTATTAAACCCAGACTATCCTGCCAAACACCCTGAAACTGAAGCCACACATCTTAGCCTGAAATCTCTCTGTCTAAGCCATTCCATTTCCGAGCTCGTCAATCAGACATGGAAATTACTACGGTCTCAGTCTGCTTTCTCTGAGGGCAAGCTGTCAAAGAAACTAGTGCAATGTACTGGTTAAGAGAATGTGCTGCAATTTGGGAAGCTCTGGGTTCAAGTATCTCTGCCATGAAATCCTGGGGCGGGCCATAGCTTAGGAGGTAGAAGGCCCCACGCTCCATTTTGAGCATCGCCAAGTAGGGCAAGGATGCAATCTTGAGAGAGCCTCTGTGAGTGCAGACGATACGGAGTAAAATGCACCAACGGTATGACTCTGCTTTCTATGTTCAACAGCATTTGGGTGAGCTGCTATCCCCCAGCATCCTCTGCTCCAGTGATGAAATGAGGCCAAGGCATACTTGTCTAACTTACAGGTTTGTCATGATGGTGGTGAAAATGTTCTCCCTGCCTTAATGTCATTCTAGCTTCAAGCCAATTCTGTTTTTGTTTTCCAGTCTTTTGTTGTATTTTTCTTCTAATTTGATTTCAACTCTGCTGTATGCTGCCTATACTAAGGTATGAATTCCTTATGCACTTTGGCTACTTGGTATTCTAACCGTGCAAGTCACCTTACGCAAGCCACCCAGATAATTTGTTGAAGTCTTACAAAGCAGAGGTTGTACATGAATTATTCTGAGCGCTTGGGGAAAGTCTTACATATTCTACAAACCGAAGTAGAATTCCTAAGGTTTTCAAGCCACCTTGGCTGTGCCCGCCCATTGGTAGCAGGATGTATGACTATGTTGGTTTAACTGCATGCCTTACTAAGGAAGAAAACAGAGACAGCAGGTGCTGCTGAACAACACGCTACCAGATGAGAAATGGAGAATCATGAATGATGGATGCATTGCACTCAGGCCTAAACTAGGTTTGATGAAGGAGGCATAATAAAATACCTTCGTCTTGTTTATTTCCTTTAGTGCAGCTGCAGAGCGCTCCAAATTTTTATTTGAGCTATAGGGTGGAGGGAGTTGACTTAACCCTTTCTCTGCAGGCTGCTAGTTTTCTAAAAACAAAACACTCCACCCATCTGCTTCTCCCCTCACAAGGGATAAGACTCGACATATTTTCCCCCTCAGAGCTGGGTCAGTTTGAAAGGCTAAGTACCGTATTTTTCGCCCTATAGGACGCACTTTTTCCCCTCCAAAAATGAAGGGGAAATGTGTGTGCGTCCTATGGGGTGAATGCAGGCTTTCGCTGAAGCCTGGAGAGCGAGAGGGGTTGGTGCGCACCGACCCCTCTCGCTCTCCAGGCTTCAGGAAGCTCTCCGCAACCCTAGGGAGCCCGGCGCGAAGTCACGCCGGTCTCCCAAGAGTTGCAGATAGCAGCCTGTTCTGGGGGCTGGGGTCGGGGGAAGCTCAGGCTTCCCCCGCCCCAGCCCCACGTCTGGGGGGAAATAATTTTTTTTCTTTATTCCCCCCCCCAAAAAAAACTAGGTGCGCCCTATGGGCCGGTGCGCCCTATGGGGCGAAAAATACGGTACCTCTCCCAGCAGCAGCCTCATCAAATTCAAGGAACCTAAAGAAACATCACCTTTAATTTGACCCTCGGGCTTCAAGGACAGAAATTGGTTCTTTTTTTAAAAAAAGGAATTTATTCCTAAATTTCTTAGTTTACTATGCCCAGTGCCAGCACCCAGCAAGGCTAGATAGGTGCCTGATTATCTGTGGCTGCTTTAAGAGCCCACAAGAGGCTTGGTGTGATCTGGAACCCATGCTCCACTCCTAGTATGTTTTACTGCTCTTCCAGCAATGCGGATGGTGAGATAAGGTTCATGGCTGGGAGTGGGGGGAGGAAGAACCATAGGTCTCTAACCTGGGGCCCCAAACTCTGAAGGCACCAGGGCTGTCAACAACAGACATTTTACAAAGCTACCCTTCCACAATGCTCTGGCAGTGCTTTCACTACCCATTCAAGCACATTTTCTAAAACTGAAGTAAAAAATTGAAATAAAACTATATAGCCTATGTAGCCAAGTGAGCATTATGATATTGCAACAGAGTGGACTATGTAGTCATACAGATATGCTAGTCTTTGCTTTCTAGGCTCTGCTGAATGGCACTTCTGCATTCCTACGAAGGGACTAAGCGGCAGAATATTTCTTAAAGGCTTCTAATGGGCTGGAACCAAACAGCCGTGCCATGAAAAATGCAGAGCCAGATTTCACCTCATTAACAACTGGCTATTTCTAATTATTTCAAAGATAGTCCCTCTATGTGGAAAAGGGATATAAATCAGTAATTTTGTGCATAAGCCTCCAGGCACCTCGTAGCAAAGTCTTGTGCATGAGCACACAATGGTTAATTCTACTGTTGTTACTCTACAAACCAAAGACCATTCATTCATCGTGTTTAACATCCACTGCTTAAAGCCCACTGCTGATCAATTTACATAAGCAATATGGGAGTACAAAATACATTTGCCATGGGCCATATATTTGAACTGTGTGGTTTCCAAGCTGGCCTTGGAGACCAGATCCTCTTCACTGCTCATGTGTATTTGGAGAGACCAAGCAACTAAAAATAAACAAATGCATGCGCAGTTCAGATGTGCTGCATGTACATTACTCAGGTACCATAGCAAAATACAGGAGGGGGGGCCCATTACTGCACATGCAGATATTAATTTATAATCAGTGAGAGTCAAGAAACATGGCACCCTTCGACCTAGATGGTTGCTTTCCAAACAAGCAAAGCTCCCGTTTTTCTCCCTTGTTGAGCTTTCTACAAAAACTGAACATCAGGCTGGGGGCGGGGCCTTCAAACACAGGAACACAAGTGCTGCCACTTTCTCTTGCAAAACTCTGCCCCTGCCCCAGCTGCTTTTTCCCAGCAATGCTTCATGTTCAGAAATAAATTGAGGTAATGGAGAAAACATCCTGAGGGGAGGTGGTGGAGTGGCGGAGGGGGGGGGGGTTCATTACGCTCTCCTATCTGCCGCTTCTCTGATAGTGCTGACAGCAATTTTTCTACCTACCACTTTACTGCGGCTTACTTACGTTTGAGGACACCGATCTAACCTCGCCACATGGAGTCCCGGTTTATCTTAACAGCTCCTTCAGGACATCTGCTGCTAATGACGATCCGATCCGTCAGGAATTGCTTTTGAGCTGCCCTCATCCATTTCAGCTGATGCCACGAGACACGTGGCTTAATCTTTAGGGGGCCACAAGTGCTTTTGCTGACTATTCTCTCTGAATTTGGCTCAACCAACCAAGTCTTGAGAGCCTGGAAGTCCTTACCTCTTGAGAGCCTGGAAGGCTACATCAACAAAGGGCTGAAGTTTAAGAATTCTTCTAATCTAAGGCCAAGTATAAAATGGGGGGGGGGGGAGAGAGAGAATTCTTGCTAGCCAAGCAAGATTTCGGTAGTGGGTTGAGGACAGAGTTAGAAACATACACACACTGCCTTAAACGTCAGAAGAATTTCAGGATGGCAAGGGAAGACCCCCTTATTTAAAAAATAAGTTAAAATTGAGTTGAATGGTCCTGAAATAATGTTTATTTAGAAAACTTCTCCAGGAATTGTACAGTTTAATAGAGAATGGAGTCTCTGTTTTTTAGTAGGACTTTCTAGTGGCAGGCTGTAGAATGCTACAGCAGAGTTGTGATTCTCTATTCCACTCTACAGAAATGTTCAGCATGGTTCCCCCAAAACACAAAATTAGCCTCCTCCTCTTTCTCCTGTTGTTTCTTTGCTAGATGCCAAGCCATGTGCCCCTCCATAGCAGCCTTCCCAAACCTTTTGTCCCCATATGTTGTTAGACTACAACAGAGGCGCCGCTTGTGGCTGAAGATTGGGGGCCCACAGCGACGCGTCACATTTGTGACATCACTCGCGTGTCGCATGCTTGTGATGTCACGCCTTGCCTGGCGCCGCACAGCTTCAATGGCTGCAGCTCCTCCTCTCTCAAACTCTGGAGGAGCCAGCTTTTGATGCTGTGCCATGCTCAGCTCAGTGATTCAGCCTCCTCCCTCAATATTCAAGGGGCTGAGCGACACCTCCGCCCCCTAGAGTTAGCGCACTCGGACTACAACCCACGTTAGCTCTAACCACTGGCCATGCTGGTTAAAAGACAACAGATGTTGTAGCCCAACAACATCTGGGAGACCCAAGGGTGTGGAAAGCTGCTCTCTTTATGCACCACATCTCAGACAGAGGAAAAAAGAAATATACGTCTCCCAAAACATTAGTGTCACATAATATTACCAAATGCACACAAGTTGCTTGCATTTTTGTTTTTAAAAAAGACAGACAATAAAAGAACAGGTTTGGACAAGATGAACCACTTGTCTCGAGTCCGGTGAGTGCCAAGATGACAGCAGGATACATTTACATTGAAACAGAATTACCGTAAACATCCAGGTTGAGTCCTGGTCCTGGATAGGCACGTGGAGCAAGAATGGTTTGGAGGAAAGAAGTAGCAGGCTGCCCGACTCACTGCCCCAGCCCCAATACTGAGGACATCTCAAAGCTTTCTGGAGAACCTGAAGGCTCTAAAATGTTGGGGCAACTGGAATTTCATCCATTCTTCACTTGCAGAGAAGTTGTGCTCTGCACTTTCTTGCTTCTACATCATCACCAGCAGAATCCCCCCCCCCAAAAAAAACTGACAGCCAGCCAGAACGCAGCAATTAAGATAAATGCAGGAACACGAGGGTTCGCCCTCATATTCAGAGCAGTGCTGTATCCAATCCTCTTAGCCCTCAGAGGTTGGCACTGTAGCATGTAAACATATTTTTAAAAGAGAGAGGTGGATTCCCCAGAGCTCAGAACCCGAGCCGCCTCTCCACTGGAGGAGCCAGGAAGAGGAAGGGAAAGGAGAGAAGGGTGGGGAAGGGTTGCCAAGAGGCTTCTCATTCGTGCATCTGCTGCGCTTGCTTCTGCCTGAGCACGTGTCCACGGTCGTGAAGGCTTTTTCACGGAAAGTGCAGTGGAGAGGGAAGACTGGGCCCTCTTAGCTTTTGAGATCCATGAAGTGAAAAACCTCCCACTAGCCTCTCCATCAAAAGTGCATGAACAACAGTGTCCTGTTCACCTTCTGTTCACAACTTCTGGATGCAAACCAGAGTGTTCTGGGCTGAACACTCATCTTCTTTATCTGCACAAAGCGCCCCAGATGGGTAAGCAAAGCGCTCCTCCGTCTTGGTTCACTCCTCGGTCTTGCAACCGGTAGTCTGCCGAAAGTAATTAGCGGCAAGCCTCAGAACAGGTCGGGCTTGGAGAGGAGCAGAGACAGGGCTGTTTCCTGAAGGATTCCCTTCATCAGATAGCCCTACAGTCACCTTTGGCAAGACTTTCCCCATCAGAAATAAGCTTCCCCCGCTTCAATAACAAACGTGTGGTTTTGCCCAGCAAAATGTAACTGTTCACTCCATCCTTTTCTTCCATTTTTTAAAAATAATTTTCCGGAGACTTGCAGGAGGATAAAAATGTGGTTTTTATGCTGATAAAACACTACCCCCCTTGTCTTTTGCAGCAAAGCAGCAATTGAGGATGGACTTCAGATTAAAAAGTATGTCCTATAAGCCATGACTTCTCATTCACAAAATCACTCCCAGTCAAAAATAAATAAATGCCCTGCGAAACTTAAGAACCCCAACTCACCCTTTCTTCGTTCCTAATCGAGATGAAGCCTGAGAAATATTTACATTGTCAACGTAAAAAGGAGACAGAGAGATTTCAACGGAAAGAGGAAAATCGCCCTTTTCCCAGTCTCTGCTTCATCAGTATTTTGGCACTACAGAAGATCTGGTGGTGCTAGGAAAGGAATATGACCTCACGCTAAGTGGCACCCAGGCTATTCCCTCTCTGTTAGCTTCTGCTTCAAAAACTGTTACTTGGAAATACAAAAAAAAATTAGGGAGAGGGGAACAGCGACAAAAGTTCTAACAGAAACGAGGAAAGGGTGGTGCTGAAGCCACGCATGCTTGCTTCCCTTGGTTTCTGCACCTGCACACTGCTGGAAGGAGAGGACTCCATGGCTGCGTAAAATAGAAAACCGGCAGATGACCCACCCTCCCCCTTCCCCTACCCTGCATGCAGTATCCAATATGAAATAGGGGGAGAAACCCCTCTCTCCAGCTCCCAGGTAGGCAGAGGTAATGGGGGTTAATAAGGAAGGTTTCTGCAGAGGCCAACAACGCACACCTGCTGGTTTGGGCTGGACTCATAGAGCAGCTCTGTCCACATCAAATGATAGTTGGTACCCACAGAGCCTCATTCTGGCGCATGGCCTGCACATCCACAGAGTCTCTCTCTCTCCACACAACACTCTCTTCTCGGACTCAAGTCCAGATTGCCTCTCCAAGCAGCACCGCACTTTAGGACGGGCCCTGGCAAATTTTGCTGCATTTTTGTCTGCAAAGCCGCACGGCCTCACTGTTCCTGCTCCACGACGCTGCCGTTGAAACTCTTGCCTGTATCCTCAACGACCCTCCAGCCCCAAGAGCCAAAGCAGATTGTAGCAGCATCTTCTGCGTCGCTGAATTAAGTACGAATGTGTGCCTCCCCTCAAAAAAACCCCACATCTCTGCTAAAAGCACCACCTGTATCCACCACACAGCCAGTGGAGGCCACCGTCTTGCATTCCCTGAGCTCTCTGTGTTTGGGTGTCCAAGGCAGTAGGTCTTGAAGGCTCAGCCCAACATGTGCAGGAGGAAGGGGGTGGGTCGGTGGGGGAGACTTAGCATTGCCCAGCACTTTTGGTCCTCGGCTTACCTTGCCGTGAAACTAAAAACAAACAAACAAGTGTGCTCGTGCGCTTGGGGACTTCAGGAGCTGGAGAGGGGGTTTCCCTATCACTTTCCCCCACCCCACCCGTGTGTTTCCCATGCATAAGAGCAAAGGGTTCCTCCATGGCAGCATCAGTTGTTGGCTTCACCTTCCTCTTCGTCAAAAGACTGCACCCCGGACGAGGTAACGTCGGAGACCTTGCGGCTGAGGGCAGCAGGCTCCGGCTCCTCGCGGGGGGACAGGGACTCCAGGTCCCGGCAGACAGCATCGTCCTCCTCGGGCGAGGGCTTCTTGTTCAGTAAGGGAGCCTTCTCCAGCAAGGGGTTTCCTTCCTCCTCCTCTGTGTGGATTCCCACAAAGGTGCTGGAATCTGTGCTGCTGCCGCCGCCACTAGGAACTGTCTGAGCAGGCCATACATCCACAAGGCTAGTATTAGAGAGCAGTTGCTGCTGCTGCTGTGGCTGCTGTGGCTGTTGTTGTTGTTGCTGCTGCTGCTGTTGTAGTTGTTGTTGCTGCTGCTGTAGTTGCTGTTGTTGTTGTTGTTGCTGTTGCTGCAGCTGCAACAACTGATGCTGTTGGATAAGGTTGTTCTGGATCAGAACGCTTTCCTGCAAGCTGGGCTGGGACTCTTCAAAGTTCTGGCCCTGATAGGAGCCAGTCGCTGGGGACGCAATGAGTGACTGGTCGCTGGTCTCCCAGGCGTCGGAGGAACCCAGGCAGTACATGCCTTGCGAGACGTAGGAGTGAGGCCAACTGTCATACTGTGCCTGGGCCAGGTGCTCTGCAGGGAAGGGAAGAGTCGGGGGGAGAAACAAAATTTAAAAATGGAAGAAAGGAAATTAGAGTCCAGCCATCTCTGGACGTTACAAATAGGGTGTGTGTGTGTGTGTGTGTGTGTGTGTGTGTGTGTGTGAGGAATGGGAACAAATGTGTTAGCTCTGCCCTTCCACCATTTTTTAAATTAACCTTCTAACTCTTACAGAGAGCTCTTTGTTTCTGTGGAGGCTCCCATGCCCCTTTAAAGGGTTTTAAAATGAGTGAGGAGCCTCCCCAAATGCCCAAGACAGTCCCCTTCCACAAGATTAGGCCCAAATTCCCCTCAGGGAGAGGATTGAGACCCACAGATCTCAGAAAGGGTTGGGGGAAAGAGGTTTACAAATAGAAATAATATAGAAATATAGAAATATAGAAATATAGAAATATAGAAATATAAACAAACATCTAGCATTTATTTAGTGCTTTAGAATTTAGATACGTTATTAATTTACAAATCACCATCCACTTGAATCTCAAGGTGATTTACGTAAAAAACAACTAAAAGCAGCTTTCGAAATGGTGCAAAATAAGCAAATTAAATGCAAGTTTTAAAACAGTACAGAATAAACACATAAAGCAGAGAGGCCTGTTCACTCTGGTGGAAAAACTTGTGGAAACAAAAGTGCCTTCTGGGAAGTATAGAGAGGCACCACAGTGGCTCCCAATTTGCTAAGTACTGCAGACTCCCGGTTTTTCAAAAGCCTGGCCATGGGCCCTGTACTTTTGAAAATTTTGGTATCTCTACCATAGTTTTAGTTATATGAAAGGCACCGCAGACCCCGTGGGGTCCGTAGACCACCAATTAGGAATGGCTGGTCTACTGTATCTCCAGAGGGGATGCAGTTCTACAGAACAGGGGCAATGAAAGACTTTTCCTGAGTTACTGTGGAGAAGGCTTCTGTTATTTTATCAGAATTATCTCAGAATGCTTATTGCTAAAACAAAATTTAAAAAATTCCTTCCAGTAGCACCTTAGAGACCAACTAAGTTAGTTATTGGTATGAGCTTTCGTGTGCATGCATATTTCAACAATTCTCACAATATCCATATAATGTCGGTCCTTATCGTTAACCCCCACCCACCCCAAATTGCAGATGGGGACAGGGAGGGGACAGAGGAGAGCAGCTTCCTTAAGACCACCTGTTATGCTCACTGCTGATGTTAAGAGCACAGTTCACCCTTCTCAGCTACGATACTATGCTAGCAATGGCTAGAATGGGGCAGATGGATGTCCTAAAAGGAACTGAGAAAGGAAAGTGTCAACAGTGGGCAGGTTTGGGTAATGAAGGCTTCTCCCTCCCCAATATAGCCTTAGCCAACAGAGGAAAGTCAAGCTGCCTACACCAATTGGCTTTGCTGAATAATTCCCTGTGGACCTGTGCTCACTTCAACCAAATCCAGGAGGAAAAGCCAATGCTCACCCTGGTTCTCCATCATCTCCTGGTAGTTCTCGTTGTAGTTGCCAGCTTGGTTCTCCTGGTTAGAATTGACGCTCACATCCTCGCCATCCATGGAAGACCAGGCCATGAGGGTGGCTTCTGAGATAGCAAACTGCTCCATCACCCCTGTGTTGAGCAGAGAAGAGAGAAGGATAGCGGTACATCATGGAATTGCCCCATTCTTCTCCCCCAGCCAATAGCCGCAGATCCTGCCTCTTGGGTCCCATTGCCCAGTCCATGCCAGTTCCTGAGAAACTCTGGCTGGGATCCTAACTTAGCAATATGGAGTAGCCTGATCTTCTGTGCAATTGCCCAGGCTCCCAACCCAAGTATCAGGAATTGGTTTTCTGAAGGGTTCAGAACCCCAGTCCAGAGTAGCTGCCGTTACCCTGGTTCCACTAATTCTCATAAGCATGCCTGCAAAGGGCCGTGGAAGAAATGTAACCCTCGTAAGCATCCTGTTGCAACTGAACCTTAATAGGGAACGCAGGGCAGAGAGTGGCAAACGGCAGCCCTGTGCTGAGCTTCCTCCTCCCTGCTCTGTAGTGCATAGTATGCTTACCCCATGTCTTGATGTCATTACACGGAGAATTCCCCTCCCCCCCCACCAGTGGCAGGCCAGCAATATGGAATGGGACTGGGACGTGCCCAGTATATCTCACAGCCAGATAACGAGAGGAATTCAGCATAGCACTAAGGAGATCGCTCCATCAGCACAAGCATTTTAGCTTGCTTGGTGAAACAATCTCCCCCCTCCTTCCCCCCTAGGAGCTCTCCTAACCCCCCTAAGTCAATACCGTGGGCACAGGAGGTGGGGGAGCCCTTTTGAGTTAGTGGCAGTCCTCATGCAAGCTTTCGCTGGTGAGGATGGTGAGTTGACTCTGGCCCAATAAGCGCGCTGAGTCTTTCCTGACACCTTAATTATATTTTTCAGACACCAGGCGAAAATGTTCCTCTTCAACCAGGCCTGTGGCTGATTAATATCCTATAGCCTTTTTAAAGTGTCTGCTGAGAAGAGTTATTGCTTTGCTGTTTTGGTTTAATTATTTACTTGTTTTTATTTTATTCTGTGAACCTCCCTGAGATCTGTTGATGAAGGGCAGTATATTAATTTTAACAACAACAATGTCCTCAGCATGTGTTCTCCTTTGAAATGCCTCCTGAGCTATTTCCACTTTGCTCCCAGAAAGAAGGAAGGGATCAAAAGGTCATTCCTTCTAAGTTTCCCCTGCACCCACGACATCAAGTGGGTTAATGTTTATGCAATCCAGAGAGAAGATGCATTCAGAGAAATGGCTCAACCAATCCCGTCCAGCTGAACTGTTCCCACTCCCATACCCTCCTGTTCCACCACACCCACTGATGGACGGCCAAACAGTATGTTAAATAGTGGGTAGACATGGCAGACGACACAGCGATTTCTCCAAAGCAGCTCTTTATTTTGTAAGCTGGAACAGAAAACTCAACAGCAAACAGCTCAGCCGGCCTGCTTTTATAGGCAGCCAGCTATCAACATTGTAGCAACAACAACCCAGGGTTTCCTGCCTAAAATAACTGACGTGGACCTGAGTGAAAACTATCTACAGTATCCCCCTGCTGGCCCAGGGTGAGAACTTCAGTACATAACACAGTAGCAGCCTACCTGCAAGGAACCGGGCCTCCTTCTCCCCATCACTCAGGTCAGAGTAAGCGTCGGCGTCCTTGCGCACCGTTTCGTGAGTGTGCTGCTGCTGCTGGGTGTTGCCGTTGCCCCAACCTTGCCACTCAATCATGTGTGCGACGCGACCCGACCCCATGGCCGTGGGCTTGGTGACGTGATCCTTCATGGTGCGGGATATCCCTAAGGCGCCAGACATTAGGAAAACAAAAAGGGGCTATTATACCGCTCCAGAGACATTGATCGTCAACCTAGGATGGGCCCATTTTCACCCAGTTCTCTCATTCCTCCTTCAGACCTGCTTCCAAAACTCTATCTACATACTGGTCTAAGTAAGGAAACACATAAAAGTCATAAGACATGGGGCCCCATAATGAACTTAGTTGCCATGTTTTAATCTGACAAAGTATGGACAATGCAGCCTTTTATCATACCAAAGGGGGAAATGGATTGGGCATCTGGTTATTGGGGGCCACAGTGTAATCACTGATATTTATTTCATTTTCATTATTAGTTGCTTGTCACCCAAGGATCTCCAAGCAACTTACAGCAAAAAAAGAGAAAAAAGGTATACTACACATATTGCCATGGGGGGGGGGAGAGGGGTGGAGTCATATAATACATTAGTATATCATATAAAATCCATTAAAAATACTCAAATAGTGAACAAAGCAATACTCAGACCCACTAATGAGCAAATAAACAAAACCTCCACCTCCCCATAGTCTAAAGATCATTCACATCAAAACAATTTTAGTCAATTTCCTTCTTTTTTAAAAAAAGTTTTACTGATTTTATATAACATTAAGCACACATAAGCAAATATAAAGCAGCCCCCTCCCCCCGTCTTAAGCACTCTCCATTAGCTGACAACATATAAGCAATTGGATATTTTTGGAGAGAAATTTTAGGCAAACACATCATTTCACAAATCTCCATGGGTCCTTGGTGGCCTGTATCCAATTTCTTTTGCTAATGCATGCATATGAAATGCAATTAAGCCATATGCTACTAAAGGCGTTTGAGTTGTCACAATGTCTTTCTGAGGTGGGGACAGGTATTCTACTAGTCACACATTTTGAGATATTCACTTGTTCCACAGTGGAAATTTATCATAGGAAGTAGTAGTGCAAGTCTGAATGGAACTGGTGAGTATATTGACACACAAAGCCTGGAGTCTGAGGGTAATGAAGTCACTTCCGGTTTAAAAAGGGTATGTGTGGTTCAGTGTAAAGTAAGGGATATACATATACATATATATGCGCAAGATAAAGCCAAGATTGGCGAAAAGTGAGATAGATGGCTTGAGAGCCACAGGTTTGAGATCCTCACCAGAGAAGGAAGACTTTGCCAGAGCTCCAATCCCATATGCATTGGAGTTCCGCTTCAGCTTGGGGAGGATGGAGGTTGTGTCTTCCATGGAGAGCTGCAAAGAGAGATCATGTAAAAGGAATGAAAAGGTAAGAGGGGGAGGGAAGGAGACATTCCAGTCTGGACTTCTAAGAACACAAGGAACTGGGAAGCAGAAGAAACCAAAGGAGAAGGGACAAATAAAGATGGGGAAATTAGTAACTAGACTGAAAACCTGCATGGGGCCTGGTCAGAAACTGCCCATGGGAGGGAATTATTGGATTGTGTATGCCATTTTGGATATTCCTGTCTTGGGCCAGCCCTGATGTGCTAAGATGTATCTCATGACTAGTCGGGTGTACTTTTTTGGCCAGAAATTTGTTCAGGTGAAGTATTTATGAAAAGATGAAGATAACAACAAGCAGCAACAACGACAACCCTAAAGATTGTTCTATATACACAGCACTGGAGCGAAAGGAGAAGAATGGGAGAAGTTTAATACTGACTGGATGAAGATATTACTGAGGAAAGGAGGTCAGAAAGGTCCTTTAAAAAATGTAACTAAGCAGGTGTCCAGGCCAGTGTCCCTGGTGCCACACATTTTTTTTATTTCAGTTTGCCCCATGTTTAGAGCAGGGCTTTAAAATTTCAATAAACAGAGGACTGCTGTTGAAAACTGTAGCCCTGTGTTAAGTTCAGCAACATGCGGCATAACTTACTTAACATTCTGATGTCACTGTGCTCTTCATTTCCTTGCCTCTGCCCCCAAAACATTGGCTATCACTGGAGGAGCAACACTCAGTGCAATTGGTGTGGGCCATGGGGCAAATGGAACTGAATGTTACAAAGGGAAAGGAGATAACCTGAAAGGGGATGCTTTGTGTTTATCTATATGGTCGCTTTCATGCTTCTTATTCTTGAGGTTGTGGGGCTGCATTTATAGTATAGTTCTGCTGAGTAGTCAAAGCCTTCTGTATAAGGATTTCTATCACCTGGAGATGTCTCCATGGGAATGTGACGCTGAGGTAAAAAAAATAAAAAATCGAACCTTTTCCTTTCCTGCCCTTGAACAAAACCATTCCAGAACCTTAAGCACTGTGTTGATGGTGAATCAGTCGATCTGTACAAAAGAAAATCTCTCTCTATTTCCACCTCCCTCCCTAAATAAAAAGGCTTTGCTAATGAAGAAGACTAGAATAATGGCTGGGGTGAGGAACATTGTGTTAAAAAACAGCCCAGAGTCTTGCGGCAATTTAAAAGATTTGACAAATGTATTCAATGGCAGAAGCTTTTGTGGAAGTGACTAATACAGCTACCCCTCTGGATCTGGGGGGAGGGGATGTACAAAGTAATTGCTGAAAGGTTAGCGCCTCTTCAGAGAAGCACAAATCTCTTTGTGAAAAAGAGTAAAACATGAATCACAAGGGTGAGCCATACCGGGCAGGTGAGTCTCAGGCCATGCCAGCATGCTTCACTCACGCCATTGTACCCATGTCCTTGCCTGATAGGTGTCTGAGTCGGCCATTCTTGAGGATGCTCGCCATGCTATCCAGCAAAGCTGTTTGCAACTTTTGATCTTAGGTGAGCATGTGTACAGGTGCATGTGGCAATAAGCCCCAGGCCATCCCAGCTCTGCAACTCCAGGCTCTGACCAAGAGAATAAAGCTAATTTAAGTTGTCCTCCTTCTCCAACTCCTCCTCCTCACAGAAGCCAAACATAATAAAGTTCACTTCAGCAGGAATTTATTATTCTTGTATAAAAATGGAAGGGATTTGTTCATTTTAAAAAAATGAAGGAAAGCTTTTGTTATGTACTGAGTTGAATAGGATTCAGAATGCAGCAGTCTGATTGGTCCACAGGAGCCACCCAATCCAGCTCCAGGTGGAAGGGAATCCGCAACCTGATTGGCCTACAGGAGAATCCCGGAATTAGCCAATCACGTGGGGCCCATTGTGTAAATGATGTATATAAGGCAGACATTCTGGGGGAACTTCCATTCCGCCTCACCACTATGAGCAGAATAAAGAGCATGAAATCCACTCTTGACTCCGAGTATATTTCAGCTTTACTTGCATTTCCTGCCCACATCCTATTTGTATCTGGCTTGGGTTGTTTTTAAAAGGGGTTAGAGGCACAAATTCACAGAGGGTAGATTCACCAGCAGCTATTAGCTAAGATAGCTAAGAATGGAAGTTCCGTGTACAAGGATTCTGATCCACATTTAGCCACTGTGTGAGTTTGGGCCAGTCACTTGGTGGAATCTACTGCGCAGGGTTCCTGTGAGGATTTTTTATGTATTTATTTCATTGGTATCCCACTTTTCCTTCAAATCAGCTCAAGGTGACACCCCATTTCATCCTCACAGGAACCCTACAGGGGTTAGGTCAAGAGACAGTGACTGGCTCAAGGTCACCCAGGGAGCTTCATGGCAGAGTGGACCTTGGTCTCCCTAGTCCAGGGGTCTGCAACCCGCTGTTCCGGAGCCGCATGTGGCTCTTTTACACCTTTGCCGCGGCTCCGGGGCGGATACTAGCGAGGGGAGGAGGCGCATTGTGCGCCCCGACACTCCCCACTGTGGCGGGCGCTGTACTGGCTGTGACGTCGCATGGGGGCGGTGCGTGCATTAGTCATGAACCGTCCCGACGTCACCTTCCCGCCCGCTGTCAGATCGCGGCTCCGGAGATATATTTGTTTTAAATGTCGCAATGGTTTTGCGGCTCCCAGTTTTTTTTCCCTTCAGAAACGGGTCCAAGTGGCTCTTTTTGTCTTAAAGGTTGCAGACCCCTGCCCTAGTCCTAGGGCAGTACTCTAACCACTACCCAACTATGGCTTTAACTCTATGTTTAGAAAGAGTGCAATATGAAGAGTTAAACTAAAATGTATGAGGCAGATCACTACTTCTATTACTGAACAGAGAAAAGTAGGCAAATTGTGGTTTCAAATTATAGTGCTTGTGTGCCGCAGAGATGCCCTCATAACCGAAATCCTTAAACGCAGGAAAGCATAGTTAAAACGTTTAGCAAAATAAATATTCATTTATCCATCCACCTAATTCAAAAGTACAGATCTCTGCTGCTGCTTCCCTGCCTCTGGGTAACTAATGCAAAGCAGGAGTGGGTGGCAGGGAGGTGCCAGTCCTCACTGGAACGACCGCAGGGAGAGGTGGCGGGCCATTCACATGCCCTCTGAGGGCCAATTTTTATTTGATGTGATTCCTAAATGTTCAGCAGGCACCCATGTAATCACTATGGGTCAGACTGGAAGCAGCAATACCCCCATCTTGAGATATAATCCAAAACCCACCAGTAGCAAGATAGGCTCCCACACAGACACATGGAGTCTATGCAAGAAAATCTCTTGGGGCAACAGTGGGGAACCTGCAGCCCTCCAGATGTGGTTCGACTGACGCTCCTATCAGTCCTAGTCAGCACAGCCACTGCTCAAGGATGATGGGAGATGTAGTTGAGCGATTCCCAGAGGGCCAACCTCTGTCTTAGGGAATGGGGACGGTACTCACGTTAATGCCATCCCAGGAGAAATCTGTCCGTGTTTGCTATGGAGAAAGAAGAGGCCAAGTTAATGTCACATGTGAGTTCTCTGCATATAACATACATTACTTCCTCTACCCGCTGATCCTACTGGTTACTATGAACAACCTCCTACTTAATCGCTTATTGAAAAAGGGTGTTACTCCTTCACTTTAAGGGTGCACGCTTGGAAGAGCATCCCTGTCCAATTTGCTCCTGATGGCCACAGCCGTACGTGTGCAGCCATCATGTGCTACATAAAGAATAAGAAAGACGAAGAGACAAAGAGAAGGACAGAGGTGGGCTGGGAGAAAGGGAGAGAGAACCACAGACACACAGAAAATATATATGAAACTCGTCTGGGATTAGGAATCCCATGGCGATCAAACCCCTTCAGTCTTTTATGGCTGAACACTAGATCTCTGACACCAGCAGACGTACATTCAAAGGGGATGAATGTGCAAGATTAAAAGCTTATTCACAACAGTAACGGATGATTAAGTGCATATAGATTTATACAACAATATGGAGCTCTCTGTACCTTGAGGCTAGAGGCTTTCTTCTGCTTCCCTGCATGCTGCCCAATTTTTTTCCTGTTTCTCTACATTCATTCAAGCTCCTTTGGTTCTGCTGCTTCCAACTTCTCTTCATGAGCCCTGTCTTCCTTTTGTTCTTTCCTTTAGCCCTCCATTTTCTATTGTGCCATCTTACTTTCAGAATTCCCTTTCACTGCAAATATATGTTCTGCATTGGCTATACACACATTAAAATTTAGCTTTTCTCACATGCTTCTGTCCCCAGTTCAGGGGTGGTCTTGCAGGGGCTGCTGGGATGTAATTCCCATCAACTCTAATGATTGGTTTTGCTGGCTGTGTCTGATGAGAGTTGTAGTCCCGCGGCACCTAGAGAGCCACAAGCTAACCAGCCCTGCCCTGACTGAACTGCTTCTCTTCCCTCCCCACCTCAGCTCAGCCCTTCAATTCCCCTCTTCAGTCTCTTTCATGCTCTGTCCCGTTTTCTTCAAATTACAAACTCGCAGGCAAAAACTGTGACACATACCCTATGCACAATCCAGCTCGTCATGAATATACATGACGGTAATGCACAGCTAGTTGCATGGAAAGGAGAATGAGGATGCACATTTGAAAGCACACGGAAATGTGCCCACCATTCAAATCCATGCACAGTGCGCCTCTGAATGCACATCCAATTTATCCAAATCCAGGCAGTAGATGTGTGCTCACAGGCCTGCTTATATGCACAGATCTCCTTAGCTGAGGGAGGGAGTTTGTCTAGCTAGTTATTCTAAAGATAAGCCTTGAATATTAAACATAGACTTTGGGAGATGCTGCCAGTCAAAGTAGACAGTACCTATGCTGGATCACATCTAGGGTCTGTCTGGTCCAGCAGTTGCTCTCCAACAATGGGCAATGAGATGGAAAGTTCACAAGATCAGCAAGATGGCGCCGAATGAGTCCCCTCTTGAGCCACTCTAGTGCTAGCAGGTTAGGTGGCATCCTGGTAACTCACTGACACCAACCATCATCGCACAAAGAGAGGGATTTCTGGAGTCATCCCCTACAGCTTAGCAGAGATGTACTGAAATGAAACTCTCAACCTCATTGCATTTTGCGATGGTGAGAGATTCATAAAGCTAAAGTGGCCTGTCTGAATAAAAATAGTATTCATCTTTTGAAAAGACCAAAGGTCTCATCAGATTGCATTCACTGAAGCTTATTACATAGATAACTCACATGCATAAAATTACAGATGGTGAAGCGGCTGCCAAAAAACAAAAATAACACCGTCTACGGAAACCACTGCCTGGTAATCAAATGGCAGAAATCTGACAGCAAATTTAGAGCAAAAAGAGGAGATTCTTCTCTGTATGGCAACAGCAAGGCAAGAATATGCTATAGATTCTGTAGCATCCTTTTGCATTGCTGCAGCCATCCAAGGAAGCTTCTCCTTGAGAAGCCAGTGTGGTGTAGTGGTTAAGAGCGATAGTCTCGTAATCTGGGGAACCGGGTTCGCGTCTCCGCTCCTCCACACGCAGCTGCTGGGTGACCTTGGGCCAGTCACACTTCTCTGAAGTCTCTCAGCCCCACTCACCTCACAGAGTGTTTGTTGTGGGGGAGGAAGGGAAAGGAGAATGTTAGCCGCTTTGAGACTCCTTCGGGTAGTGATAAAGCGGGATATCAAATCCAAACTCTTCTTTTCCTCTTTTTGTTGAAAATTGGCTATCAGGACCCCTGCCTCTATACCAAGAGTGGGCAACTTCCAGACCTAATTATGCTGGCTAAGTCATGCCAACTTGTCATCAGTTGTCTATGACATCAGGTATGGAGCAGGTAATATAACCTGGTTCAGTCAAAAGGTGATGCCTGAAAATCCCTATATGAAGTGCTGTGCACATGTCTCTGCCAGGTCTTATAAAGTGCCCCACAAGGTATTTATAAAACATAATAAAACATTAAAAACACAACAACAGCAACAACTAAAACTAAAACAGTTGCAAGCATTCTTTAAAAAACACCATTGCAAACATTATCAACTAGAGTTGCCAGGAACAGTGGCTTTCAACCACCTGATGCCTCTGTTAACAGGAATGTTTTTAAATTCCTTCCAAAAGTCAATAATGAGGGAGGGCATTCTGCAAATGGGGAAACACCACTGAAAAGGCCCTGTCACTCTGCCAACTGGGCAGCCACCAGTGGCTATCTCTGCAAAGTGCTCTTTCAGATCCATGCAGGCAGAACAGGGCAACCAACATCATTGCGACATCAGATGATTACAGGTGGGTGGTCCCACACACCTGTCATACTCGGCCCATGAGACGTAGGGGAGATAATGGTCTGGCTCACAGTATAGAGAGTATCACAGTATTGCCAACACACATCCAGACCATTGGGCAAATTGTTTAGATTAGAAACTGTCCCAGATACCCACTTCATGGAGAACATCTGAGATGTCCCAAAGTTTCATGTACCTGGAATCAAACTCATTTGGCTCTAATCAAGTAGTCTGCTTCAACTCAACATTCAATTGTGCAGAAAATGAATAAAACTAACTATGCCTGGGACTCATTCTCTAATGCAAACAAAGAAGCACACTGCCTTCTGTCACTTTATGATCTCCAAATTTGATCCTGATACTCTGTCTTCTTAAGAGGACACGGAGTGGATCCTTACCTCGGTGGACGGCCGGTGGATGCTGCTGCCATGGAGTGAGCTGGTGCTGTCCATATTGATCTGGTCAACATCTTTTAGCCCTTTCCAGTCCACAGCAATCACCTCGTTTCCTGCAATCGCACAGAAACTGCGTCAGAGCTTGCTGCTACTTCCATCATACAGATTTTGTTCCAAAACTGGAACATCCACTACTGCGTTTATCCAAGCCATAGTGATACAAGCCATTTGTTGGGTCAATAACTCGCGCTCTTGTTAAGATTAAGGAGAGGACAGGGAGTTGTTTTATGGTTAACAAATCAAAGACCACAAATTCACTTTACAATCTTACAGGGTAGCAACAGGAAAAATACCTGTGAGGGCCAGGAAAGGCTCTTTTTAAAAAAAAAAAATCCCCGGGCTCACCATCCACTAAAGACAACGGATGTATTTCAATGCAGAATACTAGTCAAGCGAAGAGGTAAAACAACTTTGCTCCAGGTGCAATAAAATCAGCACAAACTCTAAATATTAAGTTCAAATATTGGTTATCAACAACCAGTATCATCAATCAAATAAGGAATACATAAAATATAATTCTGTTTTAAAATACAGATTATTAAAGGTGACTGATGATAAAACATAGGTTATTCAGTATTGCTTGAAGGGAAGCTTCAAATAGGATGTGTTCAGACAGACCTTTAGTGGAGAGCTTTCTCTCTTTTTACCTTTCATAAGGTAACGTGGGTGGCGCTGTGGGTAAAAGCCTCAGCGCCTAGGGCTTGCCGATCGAAAGGTCTGCGGTTCGAATCCCCGCGGTGGGGTGCGCTCCCGCTGCTCGGTCCCAGCGCCTGCCAACCTAGCAGTTCGAAAGCACCTCCGGGTGCAAGTAGATAAATAGGGACCGCTTACCAGCGGGAAGGTAAACGGCGTTTCCGTGTGCTGCACTGGCTCGCCAGATGCAGCTTTGTCACGCTGGCCACGTGACCCGGAAGTGTCTTTGGACAGCACTGGCCCCCGGCCTCTTGAGTGAGATGGGCGCACAACCCCAGAGTCTGTCAAGACTGGCCCGTACGGACAGGGGTACCTTACCTTTACCTTTAAGGTAACCCAGCTCCCTTAGCTTTCAAAATGTGTTTGACAGATGTCCTCCTTACTAGCAATTCTGACCCCTCTATCAAGCATATTTCCTGCTCCTCACTCCTACATCCAGCTGGCCGTTTACCCTATTTATTTTTTAAAGTATAGTGCTAATGTCTATACATTAAACATGAATGTGTTCTTGTTTTTGTTGTTGTTAAAGCAAAATCCATCTTAAGGGAGCTGCAAAACATTTCTAGGGAGAAGGATTAGTGGTACCCCACATGCTGGTCAACTAGTACAGTTCACAACCAGCTTCAGCTACAAACTGGCTTAACCGGTTTCCCACCTTAGCTTCATCCTGAACAGGGAGCCTTCTATGTTTGTAGTATTCTGAGCTATGTTCCACAGCCACTCAACTGCTCAAATAATATAGGACTGTACACACAAACCCTTAAATATCAAATATCAAATGCCAAACAGAAACAGTCTATGTGCAATCCTTACTGAGTCTACAAAGATAAATTTAAATTTGGTGTAAAATAATTAAACAGAAAAATTACAGAACAAAAATAGGATGCAATACAGATCCTTGGTGCATTCAACTTTCTACATTCTTCCATTGAGATAACTGTCCGTTTATTCTTAACCTCTGCTTCCTGTTTCTTAAGCAGTTACTTATCCACATGAAGAGATCTCCTCATATTCCATGACTTACTCAAGAGTCTGTCTGAACTGCACCAGAAGATTTTGGAGGAGTGTGAAATGTGAAGGGTAGACAAATTTTGACCTGCACATTGGTCCAAGAGGTGTGGATCAGGTCATTTCATTTAGGAATTTGCAAATATCTAATTCCTTAACCATCATTCTTAAGGCTGAAAGAAGAGTTCAAACAAGAGAGGTGGTTTTAAAAGAAAAACAGCTTGAATGGCACATATCGTGTTGTCTTGTGTTCATTCCTTTGAGTGCAATAAAGCCAGTTATCATCTGTTAAGAAGGAATGTAGAAGCCTGCAAGAGGGACTGTGAGACCAACTATTCAAAGACTGAGGATGAATGTATAGGTAGCCTTGAAACAAGGTTTGAAACTGAGAAAGCAGAACATCTGATCCTGAGGTGAGAGACGATGATAAACCAAAAGAAACTTTATAGTCACACAAAGCACCGGTGAGACTTGATGACAATAATATAGACACAGAGATTCCCATTACTAGCTTGAAAGAGAAAGTGACCCAGATCCCTAAGAACCTTACCTTCTAAAATGTTAATTTTATTTCATGGCTCTGAGTGCATCATATTTGCGGCAACAGATGTTATATTTTATTTTTATTCCCCATCCAAGTAAGTCCCTTTCCTGCTCAGCAATGATCCATTAGCTCATATTTTCAAGTGCATTTTTATAAGCCTAATTTTCTACCTGTGCATTAATCACAGCTTTTCTGCCCACATGACTTTAGCGTTTGCCATTCTCTATAATCAAATAAAAGTGCATTGCCCATATTGCAAGTAAAAGTGTGTTGCCTTTGTACAGCAAACCAGTTGTCCGACCTAAAGCATTTAAACTCTCAAGATATGGTCTGAACTGAAGGCACAAGGCCATCATCTTGCTGAAACTAAGCAGGTCTTGTCCTGGTCAGCATCTTTCACAGGAGACCTCCTGGAAATCACATGTATTCCACCTTAAGGACCTAAGAAAGCCTCTGTTGCATCCGGTCAAAGTCCCATCCAGTTCAGCATCCTGTGAAATACATACATAATTCTATTTGTATGCTGCCTTTCCAGCCTTTGCATTGTTAAAACCATGATCAAGGCAGCTTACAACATGAAAAATACCTAATTACAAACATAACAAAAGTAAGGTAAAGGTAAAGGGACCCCTGACAATTAAGTCCAGTCGCGAATGACTCTGGGGTTGTATCGCTCATCTCGCTTTACAGGCCGAGGGAGCCAGCGTTTGTCCGCTTCTGCAGACAGTTTTCCCGGGTCATGTGGCCAGCATGACTAAGCCGCTTCTGGAGAAACCAGAGCAGCGCATGGAAACGCCCACTGGAGCGGTACCTATTTATCTACTTGCACTGCATGCTTTCGAGCTGCTAGGTTGGCAGGAGCTGGGACCGAACAATGGGAGCTCACCCCGTCGCGGGGATTCGAACCGCCAACCTTTCGATCGTCAAGCCCAAGCAGCACAGTGGTTTAACCCACAGCGCCACCCGCGTCCCATATAACAAAAGTAGTCATAACCAATAAATAAAACATCAAAAAGTACAAAACCAAGTTGAAGCAATTTCCACATAAATCACAACAGCATCTAAAATAAGGATACACAAAAATTAATACCTCCACACCAAAACCTCCTAAATAACACCCCAGCCCAAGTGTCTGTTCAGAAGCCTCCGCTTTTGTAGATGGAGTCAGTCCAGGTCCCACCCGCCCCGGTCAGGTGGAAAGAGGCCTGCAAGACATGGAGCAGGTCTTCCAGGACTCACAACCAAGATGCCCAAGGGAAGACCACAAGCAGGACTTGAGTGCAAAAGCATTCTCCCCTCTCAGGATTTCCAGCAACTAGTATCCAGAGGTCCACTGCCTCCAACAGTGCAGGCAGAACATAGCCATGATGGAAGAAAGGGTGGGTATAAGTGCATGAGAGTAACTAGGCTGGCTTGGTATTATTTGTTGGCTGCTAAAAAAATTGTTGTGACGCGGGTGGCACTGTGGGTTAAACCACAGAGGCTGGGAAGGTCGGTGGTTCGAATCCCCACGACGGGGTGGGCTCCCGTTGCTCGGTCCCTGCTCCTGCCAACCTAGCAGTTCAAAAGCACGTCAAAATGCAAGTAGATAAATAGGTACCACTCTGGCGGGAAGGTAAATGGCGTTTCCATGCGCTGCTCTGGTTCGCCAGAAGTGGCTTAGTCATGCTAGCCACATGACCCGGAAGCTGTACGCCGGCTCCCTCGGCCAGTAAAGCAAGATGAGTGCCACAACCCCAGAGTTGGTCATGACTGGACCTAATGGTCAGGGATTCCGTTACCTTTACCTAAAAAAATTGTAGTATTTTTCCCCCTCCCAGATGCTTACAAATCCTGTATTTTATATATTTTTCAAAAAATGTGCTTCTGCAAACACAAGTACAGCAACCTGTGGACAGGATTACAACTGAGTTCTTCCTGTGTTGCCCATTGGCATCAGATATTAAACACTAGGAAATGTAGAATTCAGCAGGGAATAGTCAGGACAGGAGCATGAGGTCTCTATAGATACCAGGATAATCTTGACTTTGAAGTGTGTGGCACCTACGGTTAAAACAGGGTTCCCCTTGAATCTGGCTTGGAGCCCATCACTACGGAGAAGGCAGCAATGTTCTCTCTCTCTCTGCTCTTCTCTCGTTTTCTAGCAGGAACTTATTTCCCATAGCTAGGCAACCAAACCTCTCTGCAGTTCAGGGGCTACTGGTGTCACATCCATATTCAGTCACTTTGTAGCCCTGAGTCATTTGGACCAGCAAAGGACTTGGACTTGTCTTTCGCAGGCGGGCAGTGCATCTATGTGCCCATTTAATGCCCAAGAAACTCTAGAAGCGCCTCTGGGGGAATCAGTGCCCAGGGATCTTCTCTGGAGCAATCCCTATGAAAGTTAGCGGGAGTTGTGCAAAGCACACTACTGCTCATTGATTACCATGTGGCTACTACTGGAGAACAGGACGCAGGTGGCACCGTGGTTTAAACCACAGAGCCTAGGACTTGCTGATCAGAAGGTCAGCGGTTCGAATCCCCGTGATGGGGTGAGCTCCCGTTGCTCTGTCCCAGCTCCTGCCAACCTAGCAGTTCGAAAGCACGTCAAAGTGCAAGTAGATAAATAGGTATTGCTCCAGCGGGAAGGTAAACGGGGTTTCCGTGTGCTGCTCTGGTTCGCCAGAAGCGGCTTAGTCATGCTGGCCACATGACCTGGAAGCTGTACGCCAGCTCCCTCGGCCAATAAAGCGAGATGAGCGCCGCAACCCCAGAGTCGGTCACGACTGGACCTAATGGTCAGGGGTCCCTTTACCTATACCTTACCAC